TTGCCTCCCACTATCTCCTTGGCTTATAAACTCTCTCTCTCTCTCTCTCTCTCTCTCTCTCTCAAGACTCTTCTTCTAGCTACAAAGACCACATTATCACTAGGTCTGTAGAAGAGGTAACCAAAGGATCTTTGTGGGTAGCCGATGAAAATACACCTCTCGCTTTGGGGTTCTAGCTTGTCATGAGTCTCACGTCTCACAAAAGCCTCGCAACCCTAAATCTTGATGTGGTCTAGTTTAGGCACTTTACCAGTCCACATCTTGTGAGGAGTTTTGGCAACTTTCTTTGTAGAGACTAGATTAAGAATATGGGCGGTAGTCTCTAAGGCATACCCCCAAAATGAGATTGGTAGCGAAGCTCGACTCATCATGGAACGAACCATGTCCAACAAGGTTCGATTACGCCTCTTAGCCACACCATTCAACCGTGGTGTCCTGGGAGGTGTCAATTGTGAGACAATCCCACATTCCCTAAGATATTCGAGGAACTCTGAACTAAGATACTCACCACCTCGATCGAAATGAAGCATCTTAATGTTCCTGCCCAATTGATTCTCGACTTCCTGTTTAAATTCCTTAAACCTTTCGAAAGTCTCTGACTTATGCTTGATTAAGTAGACATATCCATATCTACTGTAATCATTAGTAAAAGTCAAATAATAACGATTAGCATCCCTTGTGGCATGTTTGAATGGTCCACACACATCCATGTGTACAAGGTTCAACAAACTTTCACCCCTCTCACAAGAACCTGTGAAGGGTGACTTTGTCATTTTTCCAAGTAAGCATGATTCGCAACTATCATCTGACTTAAGGTCAAACGACTCCAAGACTCCATCCTTTTGGAGTTGGCCTATGTGTTTCTTGCTTATATGTCCAAGACGACAATGCCATAACGATGCTTTATCTAAGTTATTATTATTAACAGAATCAATACACAATACATTATTTCCTAGGTAATCAACCATAGATACTGTTTCATACACGCCATCACAAGGTAATGCTTTAAAATAAAGAACATTATTAAAGAAAGCATCAATAGAACCAACTTCATTATTAAATGAAAAAGTAAACCCTTGTTTATACAATGCATGAAAGGAAATAATATTTCTTGCCATTTCTGGAGAATAACAACATTTATTCAAATCTAAATTTAACCCACTACTTAGCGACAAAGTATAAACTCTAATCTTGGTGATAGATGTAACTTTCCTATTCCCCATGATTAAGTTTATCCTTCCTTGCTCCACATTCTCACTTCTTCTTAGTACCTGCAAGTCACAACAAATATGAATACCACAACCGGTATCAAGGACCCAAGACTTAGAATGGGGTGAGTTATTAGAAATGATAGTGTAAATACCTACATGGTTGGGTTTAACTTTCCCATCCTTCACATCTTGCTGGTACTTTGGGCAGTTTCGCTTCCAATGTGCCTTTTCATGGCAATAGAAGCATTCAACCTATTTTGGGTCAGAAGAAGGAGTGATGAAACCTTTCGTGGTTCCACTTGAAGAAGAGCCGTCAAGGGTCGTAACCTTGGTACCCTTCGAAGAACTCTTTCTCTTCTTCCCTCGTCCTTTCCCAATTGCCAAGACAGGGGCGGAGTTGATAGGAGTAGGAGTAGTAACAACAATCTTATCCTTAAAACCACTTTCCGCGGTCTTTAAGTGTCCTTGAAGTTTGCTGAGTGTGACCTCTTCCTTGTTCATGTGGTATGTCATGCGGAATTGATCATAACATGAAGGTAAGGAGTGCAAAATTATATCTATTGCAAGCTCCTCAGGGAAGTTCACATTTGGCTTCAGCAAACTGTCCACAAATCTTTGCATTTTCTGCATGTGGCCCGTGATGGGTTCACCATCCTTCATGCGAGTTGTTATCATGGAGGAGATGATTTCATACCTCTCTTGACGAGCACTTTGATGGTATCTTTCCATCAAGTCTTGGTGCATCTCATAGGGGTAGAAATCTTCATTGGATTTTTGGAGATCAGCGGTCATGGTGGCCATCATGATGCATGCCACTCTCGTGGCATCCCTTTCATGCGCCCTAAACTCAGTGATCTCTTGAGGAGTTGCAACTGTATCATCAATCTCCTTAAGCTCCTTATCGAGGACATATTCCTTGTCCTCGTAGCGAGTAATCATTCATATGTTTCTGATCCATTCATTAAAGTTGGATCCATCAAAAGTGACTTTCCCACACAAGTTCATAAGAGAAAAGGAGCCATTAGGATTAGAGCCAGAAGCAGCAGTATTTGCAGACATCTGAGAAGAAGAAACATTTAGTTTAGAAATAGGAATAGTCCTTAATAAAACACCCAAATATAGTATTAAGGCTAGGACCCAATCATAATATATTATACTTAGAAGAGGTATGTCGTAATCTAAGTAATAACATATTTGAAAAGTAGGTAAATGACAATTCACCAATTTCCACCAAAGTCGAAATATTAAAATATTTAATTTGGTTCTTAGAAACTCCTAGATTCTTTTGAGATTCAATGAACTTTTCAAAGGCATGTTTCAATCTCGAGTGTGCCCTCCAAGTTTTGTGACTGGGATGCCGAGGATCACAAAACGAGGTGTGAAGTAACCATGAAAATTACTTGGTACCCTTAATAAATTACCCCTCAATCGATGTCTGGTTAACCACACACGCTCCATCGATACTATGATAAATATTAAGTCACCCTTTACCTACCTTGTTAAGTCTAAGTTAGTGTGCTAGCTAACCACACACGCTCCACTAATGACTTAGACAAAGTGTAAAGTGTAATTTCATGGATTAGCACCTTATTCACATTTTTCCTAGAGTAACTAAGATTGGGAATTTAATAAAACATTTAGTTACTTTATAATATTCATGATACTTTTAATGAGAATTTATAAGTCCTTGTCTTAACCGTTCGGCTAACGACCCTCCACTAGTCAAGCAAGCCGTGGGTGAGAGTGGACACCCATTAAGTTGCCATTTTATAGGCAACAACCTTATACCCACCTTATAGACTAGCTTCGTGAATGAGGCGTACTAGCGGTAAGACGACTTTGATCTTATACATATATATATATATATTATTAACTTATAATATTATAAGTATAAGGGTTGAATTTTAACTTTTTAAAATTCTAAGGGTTGGAACTAAAGTTTAATATGACTTTACTTCTTCCAAAACTTGAGGGCAAGTTTTGTAAACTTTCAAAACTTTTCATTTCTTGTAATTTATGAGTTAAATAGAGTAATAAAAATGAAGACTCTTCATTTTTCTAACTCTTGTGTTCTTTTAATGGTTTTAATTCAAGTGTGACTCTTGGTTTTCCATAACTTGAGGACAAGTTATGGACTCCATTAAAACACATTATGATCAAGAATTAAACTACCACATAGGTTACAAATAATTCCTATGATCATCTAAACATCATAAGATCAAGAACATGAATATGAACACTTTTATGAATCAAATATTACACATAAAACTTTGTAATTTTGATAACAGTTGTTGTAAATGGATTAGCAAAGACATTACACCTTCTAAAACAAGTTTTCAAGTACCAAAACAGTTTAGGGTAATGTTTCTAGTCCATTTCGAGCAACTAAAGTCGAAAATCTGCACTCTGTCGCTCCTACTCGTCGAGTGCATAAACCTACTCGCCGAGTAGGTTGAAGATACACATGAACTCGGTGAGTCCCCCCATGGACTCGGCGAGTTCAACTGGCAGACAACAAGTTTTTTGACTTTTTCAACTATATTGCATCAAGTATCAAACAAGAAAGCCTAGGCTCTGATACCACTGATGGGTTTTGATCATTCTAACACTTCCTAAGTGTACATGCAACCCTAATAAACCTTGGATCTATGTTTGTCTAAGATACATGCAAATAATTATTTTTCCAAGGTTCATATCCTAACTAGCATGTGGCATGGGGAACATGAATCAAATAAAGCTAGTAGAAATACTTACCTTGTAGTAGTAGTTGATTGCTTGGAGTTTTAGAGCCTAGCACCAATAGTGTGAACGCCTCAAATGGAAATCACAAATCAGCACAAACTTGGAACTTTGAGAGAATAGTCACTACTATCTTGAAATTGGCCCTCCCTCAACAAGTGTCAACTAGTGTGATTTCAAGAACCAAAGCCTCCTTTATATAGTGTGGTGGATTAGGATTACATCCATGTAAACCCTAGTACCCATGTCTCTTCATTCCCATGAGATCCATGGGTTAAAACTCCATGGAGTATCCATGGACTTTTCCATGCAAGCCTAGCCCATTCCAAATAAACATTAGCCCACACTATATAAATATAGAAGCCCATATTTAATTAGTAATATCTTTGATCTCTAAATTAATCTTAGATTAATTATAGATCAATAATAATTAAATAATATGATCTTATATTAATATATTAGAACTTATAATATATTAATAAATCATAACTTGTACTATTCTCAAATATTATCCATAAATTATTCGGGTGAAGTGCAACCCAAATGGACCATGCCGGGTCGGGTCAAGTACATACCAAATATAGTTATGGACTTAGACACTATATCCAACAATATATAGGTTGGACTAAATAGCTAATTCGTGAATGGACGGGCCCAAACCGGAATAAAATAAACTATAATATGCATACATTTGACACAATATTATTAAACCCAACAATCTCCCGCTTTGTGTCAAATTCAGAAGGAGAATCTTTGTTGATTTCTTCTCTGCATGTTAACTAATTTTGGCATAAAATTCAGAAGAGTGTTTCGGACCACCAGGTAGCATTTGATCATATCCGAAAAACACTTCAGATCAGCAACAGAGTTCGCCTTGCAAGCTTCAGTCATTATGAGTATAGTCTTTAGACTAGCAGAAGAGTATAGATGTTTGTCTCGCAAAAAGAACATACTCTTTTGAACTGTTTCACCTTCCTTTCTATTATACACTACGCTCCAATGCTCTTTTCGGATTTTCCCAAACTTTAGCTTATGAAGCTTTTTTGGTTCCTATTCTGGCTTTAGAATTGTCCTTTTCTTCAAGACATACGCTATGTCTATCTCCATTTTCGCAATCTCATGAACATAGCAGATGGGCATCCTCTTCAGATGTGCAACAATAAACTCGTATTTCTGTTCATATTTTTTCACAATCAATAACAAGGAGATCCAATCGTATGGATTCATGAAAGGCAAGTATGCCATATTAAACTCGTCCATGATTTGATTAGTTCCCATGAACCCCTTGAACAGAGTCTGAACAGGGGATTTGACTCTTAAAGCACAAATTTTCTTCAAACTCCAAGTCTTGAACCGAGGCTTGGCATACTTAGAGCTTCTGATTGACTATACAATCTGAGATAAAAGTCTTCCCTATTAAATCAAAACAATGAAACAGGAAACCCCTTGGTGTGATGGGAAAAAGAAGTTGAGATTCCACATCGTTGTTCAAATCAAACAAAATTGAGGGCTCCAACTAGTAGATGTTGGGATTGTCAATTGCTTCTTTCTGCATGCGCTCCATTGACCAAGAAGGGAATAACGTATTTTGAGCTTCAACCATGAGTTTGGCATTTTTAACCTCAGCTTCTTGAGCTTATAGATCCTTTGCAAGAGCCTGAAGATCATCAAGTTCTTTGTCACACTTATTTCGCACAAGCTTTTCAGACTCAGAAATCTCTTCTTCTTCTTCTTCATTATCATCAACCATTTTCTCTTTTCCTTTTGATGCAAAAGCTTCATTAGCCTTCTGATCAGTTCTTTAGTCTTTTGCTTTGTCTGAGGCTCTTTATTTGGTTGAGGTTCTTTGTCTCCCCCTTGTTTCGGAAGAGCTCCGTTTCTCGAAACACCTTCAATTTTATTGAGCATCGCAAAGACTGGTTGAAGTTTTTATGAGAGGTGCTGTCAAACTGACACCATGAACAAAGAGTCATGAGTCTCTACAAGCTTGAGCAGATATTGATTATTTCAAAAACACAACTTTTGACAATTGTCTTCTGATTCTCAGGATCGTCAATATGCTTGGTAGCATTCTTCAATTTGACAGAGAGGACCTTGGCATTCTAAATTTTCTCAGCTAACTCGTGCATGATCTTGTTTTCTGTTGCCAAGTCCTCCTACAACTTTTCAATCTTTGTAAGAACGGAGGCGTTAAGTTTAGTATTGTAGAATTTTATTCCAAAACATACAACTGAGAGTGCCTCCTTCTCAGCTTGTAAAGAATTACGAAACTCAGCTATGACTTGGTTTACGGCTTCGGTAGTTGAGTCAGAGGATGTTCTGAACTCAACCATAAAGTTTTTCACCTCCTAAGATAGTTTTTCGACTTTTGCGGTCTTTTTCGATATGGTTTTCTTAGATGCTTTAATTGCCTTGGAAGATTCTTCAAGGACTTTGGCATTTTATTTGGTTAACATCTTCACTTTGGCCTTGTGGCTTGTCAATATGTTCTCCCAGTTGGATGATGTAAGTCCCTAATCTGCCTGTGTATCAGTCAGAGATCCGTTTGATGGTGCGGAATCCCAATCAAACGGATGATATCAGATAAAATAAAAGAGAATGAAAAGAAGAAAAAGATGAATCTCGATTGTATTAATGATATGAATTAAAATCCGAATACAAGAGCTTCACACACACATAAAGCTCCCATTTCTCTCCTCTCTGGCCGTAAACTACTTAGGGTTCATCAATCCCTACTCCTCACCCTAAGACCTCTATTTATACTAGGGAATGGTGGACATGGGCCGTAAATGGGTTTACGGCCGTAAGGCGTTTACGGACGTAAACTCAACCGTAAACATGACCGTAAACTCCATAAATATTACAGAAAAATATAATTGCCCAGAAAAGTAAAGTATAAACCATAATTTGACCCAACAATCTCCCCCTTGGTTTATAGCTTTCTTTTCTTAATGACCCAACAAGCTCTTCCTAAAAGGTAGCTGGCTCTTCTTGTTAATCTTCAATGAGAGCTTGGCTTCAGCATTAATCTTCAAATTCTTCACGACTTTAGGATGAACTTGATGAATCTTCAATGAATGACTTCATCTTGAGCGGTTGGGCATTTCTTCAGAGTTTGGCATTGAACGCACATTAGGTGAGAATGCTTGACGTACTGATTCTTGAAAGATAGTGCTTTCAGCTTGAGAATCTTCAGAGAAAACATCAGAGAGAACAAATCTTCTGGATCACTTCAGCAGGTTCATAGATAGCAGCAGACTGATTGAGGAGACTTCAATGCAATCTGTCACATAATCTTCAATTTCAGCTTCACCTTTCTTCTGGGGTTGAAAGATTGAATTTGAAAGAAGAATCTTCATTTCTTGCTCCTTCGAATGAGAATTCTTTGATGCTCACGGACGAAGCCTTTGGCTTAGAAATCTTCAACACAAACTCCATGAGTCTTATATATACCTGAAATCACTATTCAAGACAAAAACAAAACTAAAAGAAAACTTAGCACAAAAATAGAAATAAATACTTATGGATTTTTTTAACAAGAAATAAAACAGAAATAACACTATTTTTGGATTTTTAAATTTTTCTGATGATGATTTTTTTAATTTTTAATTCTCCCATAATATTTAAATTAGAAGAAACTATGACAAATTTAACAAAAATAAAATGATATCTAACTATAAGAATGATTTGGGATCAAAGTTTTTAGACAACCTTTATCCACTTGTCGGTACCTTTCATATTCACATCTTTGTCTGGTCGATCGTCGGTATTGTTGTCCACTTAAACACGAAAAATTGTGACAAATTTATGACATACTATTTGTTACAAGACAGGTGAACTTAAGTTCCTAGATATTATATCTGATCCTAAGTTCCTAGATACTATATCTTAAGGACCATTCATCTAACAACGACCAAGGATATTGTTGTCCACCTAAATTGAGCAGCGAGATCTACAGACAATCTGTACGTGTTCAATTTTAAGTGTACTAGAACGTGTTTCCCACTTCCTGATATGCTCCAGCCATCAAGAACTTCCAGAGTACTCCTTACACCGGGTGAGCAGACAACCATTCAGAGAGAGAATAGATTCAGAATTCTATTACTTATTACTTTAAAGGGGTTGAGAAGAAGAAGATTGCATATGCTGTGTACCAGGTCGGATTATAAGTCACGCAAAGGAGACAACATATGGCTAACAGATAAGAAGTATTTCACACATGTATATATATAGCCTGCAGAGAAATAGAGTTGCATATGTTTCAATCCAGGTCGGATCTCTTCCAATCACGCAAAGGGTGCAACATATGACTAACAGACGGAAAGAAAGAAAATGATATTCAACAGACCTAATTTATCGGAATTTACCAGTCGCCCCATCCAACCGGAATTAAGGAAAGAATCCGCACATTGAGGAAAAGTTAAACCATGGTTCCAAGTACGGGTTCAATTAATGTGACGAGTAGATTCCCATATATATCTCCCTGCTCAACATATCCGAGCGTCGTATTGTCAGGCTGAATGGATCTAACTAGGTCAAGATTTGTCAAGTCTATAAATTTCCTAAGTTCAACTCTGCCTAGTCATGTCCATTTTAAAATTTTTCGTGCCTACCGACGCATCAAGTCAGAGCATAGACCCTTCAACTTTAGGTACGTTACGCAGACTCAGGTTGTCCTTTATCACTTATTAATATCATTTCCCAAAACAACTCCTACAAGCACATTTCATAACCAATAATTTTTTAATTAATTTTTTTAATTTTTCTAATGTTTTTGGATTTTTTAAAATTTTTAATTTAATTTTTTTTTATTTTTGATTTTCTAATGTTTTTTTAATTAAATTTTCTAATTTTTGTTTTGTTTTTATTTCTCCCCTTAAATTTGTGCATAGGAGAGAAACGAAAGTAAATGCGCAAATTTAAACTATCCTAAAACAAAAATTAGTCTTTAAAGCGAATCAGGTTAAGAAAAACTTAGGAGTATAGAGAAGAAAACACAAACCGTAGTTCACCGATTGAATCTGCATCCAGAAGGTCTGAGAACATCACGCGTAATCTCAGAACAGATCCGAAAATTCTTCATGTCATTAAGCACTAACCCCATGAGTGATCTCTTCTTTTCTTCCTTTCCCACAAAAAGACACATACTCTCAAACAAAGGTCTGAATGTTGTAAAGTTGAGAGATGTCTCCTATCATGTGCCTGGAACAGCCATTACCAACAAACCGAAGTCTGATGATATGCCTCCATAGCTGTTCCGACACAGAGCGGGATCAGTTGGTCTTTGGAACCCAGTCCATTTTGAAACTGGGTCGACCTTTGTCATCAATGCAGGGTACTCTCTCCCATGACATATCCTGCTTATCACAAACAGAAGATGTAGAAACATTAGAGTCGTTAGTTGATTTGGGAGATTGAGCCTTCGGAACCCATTTGTAGTTGGGTTTAACCCATTTCTTTTTCGATCCGATGGATGCCTCGGCACTTGATTTGGAACTTGAAGCCGGCTGTCGAGATGACTTTGACCTAACTGGTCTTGGCTTCACTGGAGCATCTCTTGAACTAGACTTCTGGGCCGGTATTCCCTTCTTGTTCTTGGGAGTTGGATGCTTGGCCTTGTGCGCATTCCAGTCATCATGGTCTGAACGTGACCTTGAGGGGTTTCTTTTGGAGTATCTCCCTCTTGGCGCGTTCTGCCAGCCTTGCGCATAGTAAGGAATGTATGCGCGATTTGGATAATTTCGGGCAATGTGTCCAGGTGTTCCACAGTGAAAACAAGTCTTTTTCTTCACTGTGAAGTTATCTTTTCCTGCCCCTGGTGGCGTATCTTTGCCTTGTCTTTTGTTTTCCCCACATGCACACTTGCCACAAGAACTCTGTTGCGCTGGAATTGGAGGCCAGTATTTCTCAACGACAGGTTTATCAGAAGCAACTGATTTCGAAGCAACAGACTCAGAGCTCAAAGAGACATTTTTTTGTTCAATAGTGTTCTCCTTGTTCTCATTTTCTACTACTTTACCTGCACATGAAGTAGCAACATTAGTATCTTCATAATTAATAACTCCCCATGACACAAATCCATCTGGTTTTCCGTATTTAAGATGTGCCTCCCTGTCAATTTCTTCTTGTTTAATAGGGATGGATGTGTAGTTATGATTGTAAGGAGGAGGTACTCTATCATACCCTAGACCCTTGTGTTGATTCCTTTTAAACTGCATGCTTTGGTCTATCATATTTGCAACCACCTCACTTGAGAAATCATATTTTCTAACATCAAGTTTGGCAGTTTCAAACTTTCCTTTCAAAGATTCAACTTCAGCCACTAGCTCAGCATTTTGTTTGAATACATAATCATAGTTTTCACATTTGTTACTGTAGTCTTCCTGAAGTTTCCTAAAGTCCTTGGTTTTAGCTTTTAACTCAGCCTTCAGAGGTTTCTGTCCTTTCCTGAGTTGATATCCTTTATATCTCAGGTCCTCAACTTCTCTTTTAAATAAATCAATTTGATCCCTAAGAAATTTAATCGTATCTTCACATGATTGTGAACATGAAACTTCACATGAATGAGAACATGACACTTCATTGACCGGAAGGTTTACAGAACTCTTTAAAGCATCAAGCTCTTCAATTACTTCAGCAATACTAAGACGATTGAGATCTTTTGTCTTCTTGATGACAGCTACGTTCATATCCCACGATTTTGGAAGTGAATTCAAGAGCTTTTTGTTTATCTCAGATTTAGACAAGAAGATCCCAGCTATATTCATCTCGGTAGTGAGTGTAGTAAACCGCTGCAACTGAGTTTCGAGCGTTTCTCTAGGGACATAATCGAAAAAGTTGAAATTTTGTCTTAACATATCCTAACGACTCTCTTTCATGTTTTCAACTCCCTCGTATACCTTAAAATC